CAGGCTAATGTGGGCGTATCCGCTGAAGCAGAAAGATCACGCCGCCTCCACGATTCGGGACGATTGGCTGCCGTTCGTGGAGAAGCAAGCGGAGTGTGTGGTGAAGCGGATTAGGACAGACCGGGGTGGTGAGTTCCTTGGAGCTGAGATGATGGACCCTTGGCTCAACAAGCAGGGCATCCAGAGGGAGCTGACCACGGCTTACACCCCACAGTCGAACGGCGTAGCAGAACGGGCGAACCGGACAATTCTGGAGACAGCTAGGGCGCTGCTCATAGAATCTGGGCTGGGCAACTCGATGTGGCCCCATGCTGTCCGGCACGCCACCGTCGCTAGGAACAGGGTGCTCACTAAGGTTGGGGATGATTCGTGGGTGCCGTTGGAGAGGTGGCTTGGGAGGAAGCCACCGGTGGACATGCTGAGGGTGTTTGGTTGCATGGCAGTCGCCCACGTCCCCAAGACCTACCGCAGTAAGTTGGGGGCAAGTGCAATCTGGTGTGTGCATTTGGGGCTAGCTGCTGAGAGCAAGGGATGGTTGCTGTGGGAACCACGCAAGGGTGTGTTGTTTGACAGCAGGGATGTAAAGTTTGTTGAGGGCCTGATGTACGGGGGCTGGAAGCAACAGCCAGAGGCCAAGATATCACAGGAGATGGAGCAGATCACCATGCAGCTGGACCTGACTCCTAGTGTGCGGGAGGAGGGAGAGGAGGCAGCTGCAGAGGGTGGTGATGGAGAGAAGGTGCAGGAGGCACCTGCTGGTGGAGGAGGTGATGTGGAGACTAGTGGTAGCACTAGTGGAGCTGCTGGATCCGAGGGAGGTAACACCCGTCTCTAGGCCAGGACGTACCCGCATGGCAACGATGAAGCTGACTGCAGGAGCTGATGCAGCAGAGCAACAGCTAGGGACCAAGGAGGTATTGCTGATTCTACCGCATGGCTATGACCCGGATGAGGAGGATGAGCCTGCGTACTGCTTTCTTGCCCCTGCACCAGAGGAACCAGCTAGCATGGAGGAGGCATTAGCTGGACCAGATAGGGACAAGTGGCTGGCTTCTAGGAATGCTGAGTACCAGAGCCTGCTGGAGAATGGGACTTGGGAACTAGTGGTGCTGCCTGAGGGAAAGAAAGCGGTACAATGCAAGTGGGTGCTAAGGATCAAGACTGACGACAAGGGGCAGGTCACCATCTACAAGAGTAGGTTGGTGGCTAAGGGATTTATGCAGAAGGAGAAGCGGGACTTCAATGAGATCTTTGCTCCCACTGCCAAACCCCCTACCCTTCGTGTCTTGTTGGCAGATGCAGCCGTTAGTGGGAAATTCATTATCCAGATGGATATATCAACGGCATTCCTCAACGGGATTTTAGAGGAGGAGGTGTTCATGACGCAGCCGCCTGGGTATGAGGATGGTACGGGCAGGGTGTGCAAGCTGAAAAAGTCCATCTACGGCTTGAAGCAGGCGCCACGCTGCTGGTACCAGAAATTGGCAGCTGTTTTAGAGGAGATAGGGTTCAGGACCAGCAGCTGTGATGAGAGCCTCTTTCTCAAGGGGGAGGGGGAGGAGCTGGTGATGTTTCTGGTCTACGTGGATGACATTCTTCTCTTCAGCAGCAGCATGAAGGAGATCCAGAAAGTGCAGCAGCAGCTGATGGAGAACTTCAAGTGCAAGAACCTTGGGGAGGTAAAGTACTACCTTGGGATGCACGTGGAGAGGGATCTGGATCACAGGTGGTTGAAGCTGCACCAGGAGAAGTTCATCAAGGAGCTGGGGGAGAAGTGTGGGATTGAGAATGAGCGCAAGGTTGCAACTCCCCTGCCAGCAGAATTCAAGCTTGTGAAGGCTGCAGAGGATGAAGGGGTTGAAGCTGAAGAGCAGCAGCAATTTCAGTCCTTGGTGGGCAGCCTCTTGTATGCAGCTGTTCACACGAGGCCCGACATCTCTTTCTCGGTTGGGCAGCTGGCTAGGGTGGTGCAGAATCCATCAGAGGAGCAGGTGGATGCAGCTGAGCGCGTGGTGAAGTATTTGAACTCTCACCCAACCATTGGGGTCCAATACTCCGCATCTGCACAGGTGAAGCAGAAGGGGGTTGAGGTGCTGAAAGAGAAGGGGGAGCGGCTTGGAGAAGGCAAGCTCTTTCTCACTTGCTTTACCGATGCTACGTGGGCTTCTGAGAAGGAGGATTCCTGCGTAGTTAGGGGTGGACCTGTTAGTTGGAGGATACATCTGCGTAGTTGGGGGTGGACCTGTTAGTTGGAGGTCCAAGAAGCAGACGGAGACAGCACTCTCTTCTGTAGAATCAGAGTACATGGCAATGTTCCATGGGGTGAAGGAGGTGATTTGGTTGAGGAGGCTGTTAGAGGAGATTGGCCAGGAGCAGAAGGTTGCTACGCCGCTGTTTTGTGATAGTAAGGGGGCTCTTGGAATGGCCAGGAACGCTGTGCTTCACGGGCTGAACAAGCACATGCGTATCAAGTGGCACTGGCTGCGTAAGGAGGTGAAGAGGGGGACTGTGAATCCGATCTACATCAAGACTCACCAGCAGCCAACAGACTTTCTCACCAAGAGGCTTGCGGATGAGCCTCATTGGCGTTGTGTGCGCATGAGTGGAATGAGCATGAACTAGCATGGAATGATGGGAATGCAGCCGGCAGGCTGAGGGGGAGTGTGTTGGGTGCAAATTCACTTTGCACGACATCCTGCCGTCTGTTTGTACGAGTATGCGTGTGCGAGTGCATTTGCGTGTGCATGGTGTGTTCGTGTGTTTGTTTGCTTTCGCAATTTTCGCTTGAAGCATTTGCAGGTACTCGCGCAATGTGCGCTTCGGCACAACATTGTACACGCTATGAACAGTGCAAGCAGAAAGGACGAGCTCGCAAAGGAACCCAAGATGGAAGCTTTGCAGTTCGGTTGAGTTGATTGCGCAGATTCAGTTCTATCCAACTCGAAATTGTACTGTTATGTTTGGTTGACTACAGTGTAGCAGGGCAGGCACTATAGGGGTACAATTTAGGTGAAGGTTGGATGTTGTTTGTCTGTATCTGCATGCTACAAGGCCAGGGGAAACCAGCAGAACCAGCATTTGGCTGGTTGGGCAAAGACAAAACAGGTTCTGTTTTTAGAACCTGAACCTGGTTGTTGTTTTCCCAGGTTGGAAAAACAGAACCAGAGGTTGTTTTCCAACCTACCACCTGCTGTTTTGTCCAGCCAGGTTGGTTCTGCTGCTTGGAATTATTTGGGATCATCCCTGGTTGTTCCCAGGTTGATTCCCAAGGTCCTTGCTAGCTAGAACTATTTATTCCTTCTCTGTTTGTACCTGAACATAGTCAATTGATTCATGCGAATTCCTTCCTCGCTGGAATTTCGTTTCTACGCGGTTCGACGGCGGAATGCTACCCGAGTCAACGCTAGTACGCTAGCACTTCAACGCTAGGCAAACGCTGTCCGAGCCATAACTTCGTAATGGCAGAACTTTTCGCGAGGCAACTTGGCTTATTTTAAAGCTCTTGGAGAGAGCTTCGATATAGAAAATTCTCAGCTTAATCCGATCGACGGTCTGCACGGCACGCTGCGCGACGTTCAAGGTACTCTTGCTGTTTATTATGCCCTTACACCAACACATCCCAATCATTAGTTTCAGCAATCCAATCTGACGGAAGTAGAGTTGCATTTTCCAGGCCCAATCATCATAGCCCTCACCATTGAACTTCTCGACGGTGAAGTTCTTCAGCACCTCCTTGATCAGCGAGCCCTGGTTTGTTCGCGCTCCCCTTGGCGCTGAAACACCAGAATCTTGGCTGCCGCTACGATCTTGGCCTGAAGTCTCACCAGCTACCGCCGAGGTGTTGCCCGCCATAGCTACCTTTAACGAGGATCACTATAACGCAGCTCTGATACCAGCTTGTTGGTGTAAGGGCCTTTTAAACTCAAGCTATTAGGACTTAATCAAACTTAAAACCTCTCCTCGGGGTCACCTCCAAGGGTCCCTGGGTGCCTGGTACAAGACCAGCCCCTATCCTCGGGTTCGAGTTTGTAGAGAGAGGAGTCAAGAAAGACTTAGCCAAAATAACAAGAGTACCTTGAACGTCGCGCAGCGTGCCGTGCAGACCGTCGATCGGATTAAGCTGAGAATTTACTATATCGAAGCTCTCTGCAAGAGCTTTAAAATAAGCCAAGTTGCCTCGCAAAAAGTTCTGCCATTACGAAGTTATGGCTCGGACAGCGTTTGCCTAGTGTTGGAGTGCTAGCGTACTATCGTTGACTCGGGTAGCATTCCGCCGTCGAACCGCGTAGAAACAAAATTCCAGCGAGGAAGGAATTCGCATGAATCAATTGACTATATCCAGGTACAAACAGAGAAGGAATAAATAGTTCTAGCTAGCAAGGACCTTGGGAATCAACCTGGGAACAACCAGGGATGATCCCAAATAATTCCAAGCAACAGAACCAACCTGGCTGGACAAAACAGCAGGTGGTAGGTTGGAAAACAACCTCTGGTTCTGTTTTTCCAACCTGGGAAAACAACAACCAGGTTCAGGTTCTAAAAACAGAACCTATTTTGTCTTTGCCCAACCAGCCAAATGCTGGTTCTGCTGGTTTCCCCTGGCCTTGTAGCATGCAGATACAGACAAACAACATCCAACCTTCACCTAAATTGTACCCCTATAGTGCCTGCCCTGCTACACTATAGTCAATCAAACAAAACAGTACAATTTCGAGTTGGATAGAACTGAATCTGCGCAATCAATCAAACCGAACTGCAAAGCTTCCATCTTGGGTTCCTTTGCGAGCTCTTCCTTTCTGCTTGCACTGTTCATAGCGTGTACAATGTTGTGCCGAAGCGCACATTGCGCGAGTACCTGCAAATGCTTCAAGCGAAAATTGCGAAAGCAAACAAACACACGAACACACCATGCACACGCAAATGCACTCGCACACGCATACTCGTACAAACAGACGGCAGGATGTCGTGCAAAGTGAATTTGCACCCAACACTTATCTCCCTCATGGAAGAATTGGCCCGCGGAGTGCTCCTTCTTCTCCGCACTGCCGTTGCCCTTCGGGTTGTTGTTGTTGTTGTTGTTGTTGTTGTTGTTGTTGTTGTTGTTGTTGTTGTTGTTGTTGTTGTTGTTGTTGTTGTTCATTTTGGTTCTTCTGCGCACCTCCATTCTGGTGACGATTGTGGGGGGGTCCATCCATCGGGTTTCTTACAGTACAAAAACCAGGTATGCCCTTCCTTCTCACTATACCAGCAGCTCTCTTTCATTTTGCCACTAGCATCCGACTTGCCCCCACGTACAGATATTGCACCGAAACCCCAATCGGTACTTCCTTGTTGATCGTTAGAGTCGTCGTCCTTATTTGCACCGCGTCCAGCACCACCGTGGCCACCTCCTCGGCCACGTCGGCTCCCGTGCATCCCATATCCGCCGCTGTCGTCGTGTCCACCTCTAGGTTGGCCGCGAGTGAAGTTCTCCTCCAGAATCTTTGTCCACACCTACTCAAGCGTCCACAAGTTCTGGTTCTGCAGCATTCTCAATCCGCTCGTGAATTGAAGCCACGATTCCGGCAGCAGCGAGAGCATCTTCAGGCATTTGGTCTGCTCCGGGTAGGTGATTCCCGCAATCGCCAGCTTCGCGTAGAGATCACGCATCTTGTCCAGAACAGGTTGCACCGGCTCTCCCCGCAACGCGGACAGCTCCCTCTCCATCATGAGCGTCACAGCAACGGAGGTAGGGGCGTCCAGCTCCTTTAACACAGTCCACGCCTTCGGACCGCACTCAAGTTCCGGCAGCTGGTGCATGACGTGGTGATGCTGGTTCAGCTCCAAACTCTGCGACATCAAGTAGTAGCCAGCCGAGGCGCGCTCGTCCCAATCTTCCTGCAGGGCGGGGTCACTCGGTTTAGCCTTCTCCCCAATTATTAGTTTCCGCAATCCAATCTGATGGAAGTAGAGTTGTTGGCGTAAGGGCCTAATAAACTCAAGCTATTATGACTCAAGCTTAATACCTCTCCTCGGGGTCACCTCCAAGGATCCCTGGGTGCCTGGTACAAAACCAGCCCCTATCCTCGGGTCCGAGTTTGTAGAGAGAGGGATCAAGAGAGTGCTAAAACAACAACAGTACCTTCAACGTTACGCAGCGTATCGTGAACACCGTCGATCGGATTAAGCCGAGAATTTGCTATAACAAAGCTCGCTCCAAGAGCTTTAAAATAAGCCAAGTTGCCTCGCAAAAAAGTTTTGGCCATAACAAAGTTATGGCTCGGACAGCGTTTGCCTATCATAAGAGTGCTAGCATACTAGCATTGACTCGGGTAGCATGACGCCGTTGAAACGCATAGAGAACAAAATTTCAGCAAGGAAGGAATCCGCTTGAATCAATTGACTATATCCAGGTACAAACAGAGAAGGAATAAATAGTTCTAGCTAGCAAAGACCTTGGGAACAACCAGGGATGATCCCAAACGATTCCACGCAACAGAACCGACCTGGCTGGACAAAATAGCAAGTGGTAGGTTGGTAAACAACCTCTAGTTCTAAACCTCGGAAAACAACAACCAGGTTCATGTTCTAAAAACAGAACCTGTTTTGTCTTTGCCCAACCAGCCAAATGCTGGTTCTGCTGGTTTCCCCTGGCCTTGTAGCATGCAGATACAGACAAACAACATCCTTCGCCTAAATTGTACACCTATAATGCCTTCCCTACGACACTATAGTCAACTAAACAAAACAGTACAATTTTAAGTTGGATAGAACTGAATCTGCGTAATCAACTCAACCGAACTGCAAAGCTTCTATCTTGGGTTCCTTTGCGAGCTCGTCTTTTCTGCTTGCACTGTTCATAGCGCGTACAATGCTGTGCCGAAGCGCACATTGCGCGAGTACCTGCAAATGCTTCAAGTGAAAATTGCGAAAGCAATACTCGAACACAACATACACACACAAATGCATTCGCATATGCATAGTTGTACAATCAGACGGCAGGATGTCGTGCAAAGTTAAATTGCACCCAACAGAGTTGCATTTTCCAGGCTCATTTTCCAGCAAGGAAGGTATCCGCTTGAATCAAATTGAGTACATCCAGGTACAAACAAAGAAGAATAACTGTTTCTAGCTAGCGAAGGCCTTTGGAATCAATCTGGGAACAACCAGGGATGATCCCAAATAGTTCTAAGCAATAGAACCAACCTGGTTGCACAAAATAGCAGGTGGTAGGTTGGTAAACAACCTCTGGTTCTGTTTTTCCAACCTGGGAAAACAACAACCAGGTTCAGGTTCTAAAAATAGAACCTGTTTTGTCTTTGCCCAACCAGCCAAATGCTGGTTCCGCTGGTTTCCCCTGGCCTTTTATCATGCAGATAAAGACAAACAACATTCAACCTTCACCTAAATTGTACCCCTATGGTGCCTGCCCTGCTACACTATAGTCAACCAAACAAAACAGTACAGTTTCGAGTTGGATAGAACTGAATCTGCGCAATCAATTAAATTGAACTGCAAAGCTTTCATCTTGGGTTTCTTTGCGAGCTCGTCCTTTCTGCTTCCACTGTTCATAGCGCGTACAATGTTGTGCCGAAGCGTACATTGCGCGAGTACCTGCAAATGCTCCAAGAAAATATTGCGAAAGGGAACAAACACACGAACACACCATTCAAACGCGAATGCATTTGCACACGCATGCTCGTACAAACAGACTCCTGGATGTTTTGCAATGTGAGTTTGCACCCAACAATTTCTGCCTGTACTCCTCCCCCTGACGCTCTTGTGCCAATTCGTCGTCGAACGTCAGCTCGGCGTAGGCGTCGACCGAGACCGGCATCTTCAGGGTGCGAACGGTCTGTTCCTCGTCGGTGAACTGCCTGCGCAGCTTGTCGGCGTAATTCTGCTAGTGCAGCCACAGCTTCTTCTCTGGCTGTTCATGCACGATCTCCAGTCCGAGGTATTTCTCCACTAGCAAGATATCGCACGGCTCAAAGTGCGGCCTCCAGCATCTGCTTCAGCTACTTAAGCATCGCGGTGCTGCTGCTGGTGGCGAGCAGGTCGTCGACATAGACCAGCACCCAGCAGGCCACACCGTCGTCGCCGACCTTGAAGCACCAGAGCAGCAGCGACTTTTTCAGCCCATACAAACTCTTCAGCAGCTTGTACACGCGGCCGGTCCCGTCGTTGTAGTAATCAGGCTGGTACATGTACAGCACCTTCTCAAGCTTGCTCTGCATGAAGGCGACCTTCATGTCGAGCTGCATCAGGTTGAGGTCGAGGATGGCGACGATGCTGAGGAAGATTCCCAGCATGACGTATCTGCTCATCGACGCATACGTCTCGTCGTAGTCAGCGTCGTATACCTGCTTGAAGCCCTTGACGACCAGCCTCGCCTTCTTTCGGGCGACAGTGTCATCGACGTGGTACTTGGTCATCAGAACCCACCGGTTCTTCGTCATGAGCGTTCGACCAGCTCTCAGGTGCCCATGGCGATGAGGCTGCGGATCTCCTCGTCCATGGCAGCCTTGCCCTTCCAGCTCTCAAAAGCCTTCTTCACCGTCATCGTCGCGATGTCCCAGCGGTGCTCGGGGTCGGCGTGCATGTCCGGATCGAGCTCAGGCAGGTCGACGTTATCCTCGGCGTTGTACAGCATGTCGTCGTCGTCGCTGACGTACAGCGTGGTGAAGGTGGCTGGTGGGAGGCAGACGTGGTAGGTCAGCGGCTCAGGCGGCCCTCGAATTCGACCTGAATGCCGCTGTCCAGGCTGGTCGACTTGAACTTCTACCACATCGCTGTCAGTGGACTCCACTGTGCCCGACTGGTCCCTTTCAGCTTTACCGGCTTCGTTGTCCTTGACATGCTGCTGCACCAATCTCAGCATCCCAGCCGACTTCTCCCCTATCGTCGGCTCCCCGGTCGACTGCCCGGATGTCAACGGCTTCTTGGTTGGCTGCTCCCCTATCCGTAGCTTCCTGCTGAAACCTCTTTCGCTGGCTCCACCAAAGTCGGCTGCACCTCCTCTACTTGCTGCTCCCCTATCGGCGTCGACTTCTCTCCCACGCCGACTTGCTTGACGTTATGTCGGCCACCGATAATGTTCTTGGTTGGCGCCAATGGCAACGCCCCACGTTGGCATGAGTGGCGAGAGAGGCAGGGGAAGGGGAAGGGGAAGTAGAGCAGACGTCATCGGCGTCCTTATCAGCAATGTCACCGATCACGGCGAGCAAGGGGACTGCCACCGTCGAGGTATCCGTTGGCTGGTCGACCTTTGGCTACGCCGGCCCATGCTCTGACTTCTACACAACATCGTCTCGTAAAACACCACGTCCGACGTGGTGACCACCCTGTTGTCGGTAAGGTCGAGGAGCTCCCAGCCCTTCATCTCCTCCGATACACTGAGATCAATGCCCCACTCGGCCTTCGGCTTCAGATTTCCTCCGCGCTGCTGATCGGGGACCAGGAACTGCGCCATGCAGCCCCACACTCGCGCCAGCGTCAAGTCGGGTTTCTTGCTGGTCAGCAGCTGGTAAGGAATGATCCCCAGCGACAGTAGCGACCTCTTCAGGCAGTTGCACACCCAGATAGCCTGCCGTAGGGCGAGGTGCTGAAAGCCCATGTGCAGCAGCATCGTCCGCACTGACTCCACCACCGTCCAGGACATGTCCAGGCCGGTGGCGACCTTGTGCTTTGCCGAGCTCGTGATGGTGTCGACGCCCACATGCGCAAGCCTCGCGTACCATCTGGCCGGCGTCAACTTTGTCGCTGAGACAATCGTCCGCAGAGCCATCACCTCCGTCGTGGCGGTCGTCGACTTTGCCGAGCAAAAACGTAGGTCGGTGCAGAGGACCTGACCGGTATACGTCGCCCGACTGAGAACATCCTCTGCCACCGAGATAACCAGGATCCCGTTACCGTTGTCCTGCAGCTTGACACATCTCTCTTTCAGCTGGTCGGCTGATTGCATGTTAGCCTATATGCAGCGACGTACAGCATGTCGGAGATGAGCACCTGCTTTCCGGCCTCCCCTTGCAAGGCAATGGTGACAGCCCCATTAAAGCCGCGCACGTGCTTGACATTGCCGCTCGGCCCAAGGTCGATAAAGGCCGTCTTCGTCCCCATCAGGTGTTGCAGTAGCCGCTGTCGAGCAGGACCACTGCCGGGTTTGCCTGCACGGCTGTTGCCACCGCCTGGCAGTCCTCGCTGGCTTCTGGCGCCAGCGACATAGTCAGCTCTATGACGCCAACAAGCGAGCACGATGCCTCCCCGTCGCCTCGCTGCATGCCGCCAAAGGAAGAGTCGTAGTTTTTCGCCGAGGTCTACTTGGTCGACTGCTTCTCATTGCACGGCATGCTCTCCCGACGAGGGCGTCGACCGGCGGATCTCTCGCGGCCACCCTTGGTAACGTGATCGTCGAAGCCGTCGCGGTCGGCGCACTT